GTGCCATTCTCTTGCAGCAGGCTCCCAGGACAGTCTACTGGAGATCACCTTCCGCTCCAATGTCCTCCCTGTCCTCTGCGACCCGACCACCCCGCAGCCCGAGGACACCCACCTGCCGCCGCTGGGCCCTGGCTCAGGCTTCCCCAGCGCCCTGGGCAGCCCCATAGGTAGGAATGACTGTCTGGTGAAGCTGGAGTGCTACCGCTTTCTGCCAGATTCGGGGCCAGCTGCCCCTGAGCCGGCGCTGGGCAGCCTGGAGCTCATCAAATTCCGCGAGTCGGGCATCGCCTCCGAGTACGAGTCCAACACGGACGAGAGTGAGGAGCGTGACTCCTGGTCCCAGGAGGAACCACCACGCCTGCTCCACGTCCAGCCCAGGCAGGACCTGGGCGACAGCCTGGAGGATGAGATCGCAGTGTAGGGGTCGGCAGGAGGTGGTGTGGAGCAGCCAGGACCCACCAGAGCTGGGACGAGCCCAGCTGGAGCCCCCCAGCCCTGGCAGGGACAGGACAGCCCAGAGGGAGAGGGGGTGGAGGAGGGAGCGCGAGGCTTCCAGCACACAGCCAGGAGGTGTGCGGAGGACAGAACCGTGCCAACAGGGTGCACCGGGTGTGCGTGGGCTTGTGTGCTGAGCTGGAGCATCCCCACTTCGTGTTGGATGTGAGCTGACAGCTGCTTGTGCTACCCCCTGGTCCCTGTCACCCTGCAACCTGCATTGCAACGTCAGGCAGAAGCAAAGGTCTCGCTCCGGGTGCTGCTGGTGCTGCTGCAGGGGGGAGCAGTAAAGCACATGAAGGTGTTTGCTGGAGAGTAGGCACAGGGCGGTGAGTGGGGACAAGAGGGACCGAGGAGCTCTGTCCTCCGAGCGGGTACAGAGCTCCTGGCAGGGGGTCTGGTGCTCTGCGTGGTGGGGAGGGTGGGAGATGATACCAGGGAGGTTGGCGTTGGCGACAGTACGCTGTCTGCGTGTGTGTGCAAGTGGGAGGTGGGCAGTGGGGACTAGCCTGGGAAGGAGCTGAAGGGGTGAGACGAGGTCGTGGCAGGTGGCCGGGCACAGGCAGCTCCTGGCAGGGTGATGGTGTTTGTGGCGCTTGCAGGACAGGGTTTATCCCTGCCTGGGGCAGGTGGAGGATGCGTGGGCTCTGCCCACTCCTCTCCTGGGCGATGGAGCGGAGAGGAAGGTACAGCTCAGCATGGAGCAGGGAGTCAGGGCACGCAGTGTGGGGATGTGTTGTGTCCTTCCTCTCATTGAGTCCTTGGGCTTCTTGGCACAGCTGCCAGGTTTCAAAGCCTTTCTGGTGCTCTCAAGTCATGTTTTCAAGCACTTCCCTGCACCTGCATCAGCACGAACTCCCTGCTTTGCTTTATAGACAAACCTTCAACAAGAAGGTTTGTCCAAGCAGTTGCTTGCCCCTGGGCCAGGGCTGGGGGTGCAGTGCTGGCATCAGCCATATGCAGGGATGGGCACACTTGCCACCCCTCGATGGGGAGAGAACTGTTGGTGTATCCCGGGGGCCTCCTTCACACCTCTGAGTTGCACCCTCCAGAAAAGTGAATCTGAGATCTCTGGATCCCCCACGAGACCCTGAGATGCCCATGGCTGAGCCATCTGTGGGGGCCTCCAAGGGATCCAGAGCTTGTCCCTTTTCTGCAAGCACATTTGTCAGCTGCCTGATGCTGCAGCCTCTAAGAGGCCACAGCTGAAGAGGTACGAGCCAGAGTCCTGCTGTTCCTCCTTCTCCTTGTGGAAATGCCTGATGAGGTGGGGACTGGCACAGTTGTCTTTCTCCCCATCCACCCTCCTATCCTGCTTCTGCTTCGCTTTGTTGCTTCCCTCTGCTCTGTCTCTGCTAGATCTGCCTGCAACTGACCTCTGGCTGAGCATCTCCCAGATGTGAGCTCTTGCTCTCCTCCAGGGCTTACCCTGGCTGCTGAAGAAGGTCCATCTCTTCTTTCTGCCCTGGTCCCCTTGGGTCTGAGGGCTGCTGAGGAGTGAGGTGTGGGTGAGACCCCTGGGGTCGGTGTGAGCTGTGCTATGCAACCTCCACCACAGGATGAGGCTGGATGCTGTGGGGAGGTAGAGAGTCCTAGTGGGAAGGAAGGTGAAGGCCATGTTTCAGTGTCCCCAGTGGGGAGCTCCCAGACTGGCCACAAACAGGAGCAGGTGCTGGTTGCAGGATGTCTTGGGTGCTCCTGTCCTCTGACCACTGATACCTCCATATACCCTGTCCCGTGCCGCTGTGTGCCAGCCCCTCTGCTGGGCACCCCAACATCCCACTGCCGCCTTGCAGTGGTTGGACGTGAAAGTGTGGGGTGGGAGGCTGCTTCCACCAGGAGAGAGAGGTGGAGATGGCAGCACACGCAGGACGTGGTGCAGGCACAGTAGGGCTTGCTTGGGTGAGCTCACAGAGGGATTTCCTTGTGGGCAGATTTTCATGCACGAGAAGGGATGGCAGGAGCTCGGCTATAAGCACAGGGCAGACAAAGGGAGAGCCTGGGAAGCGTGGCAACGAGCAGGAGGTCTCTTCCAGGCTGAGCTGCCTCAAAAAGGAGGCAGGGCTGAGCCATCTCCCTGAGCCTCCGCTCCTGCCTGTCCCCACTGCCCAGGTAGTACCTTGCAAGGAGCTGTCGGGACCAGCTGCGGGCTCAGGCTTCTGCCTGGCACTCTGCCCACAGGGAACAGTGGTGGGTGCCCCATGGGCTGAGGGGGTCCTGCTGGAGCCGGGTGGGACCC